TTCATACAAAGAGCAAAAGCTTTCGGCAGCACTGTTGGCTTCAAGTCTGCTTTGGCTAACCTAAGAACAAGCACAGCCATGGACGATAAGCTAGTGCTGTAAGGAAGCTGCTCTAAGCCAGGGAAATCAGTGTGCTCTTGTCTCCATACTCAAAAGGCAGCCCACATTCAGCTTCTTCAGACTGGCTTGCCCTAGCTCTATTGCATGCTACCATGAAGACCCATACATTCATGGTCTTTCAGAGTGACGCATCAACTTCTTTTTTTTCTCCACACTAAAAGATCAAAATCCATAGACTATCTTTTGTTTTGTTTTGTTTTCATTTAAAATAACAAAAGTTAGGGTAAACTTTTGATGCTTATTATTTTTTTATTTTTATTTTCTCCTCATTTAATCTGCCTGTGTGCACAGGAACACAAAACACTTATCTTCTGTAGTCTTTCCACAGGCCAATTTTGGGGTGCAAAGGATAGATAGTCCGTAATGTCACAGTTCACAACACCGTATGGACCATCAGAAAGAGACAGACAAGACTCAAAGTGACTTGTCCACCATAACATAAAAACCATTCAGCAGAGCTGGAAAGGCAGCAACGAATAATTCTGGTAACCTCTCCTACCGGAGTTCATGAGATGAGACATACTTCTGTGCAGGCCTGGAGGTTTTGGTTTGGGGTTTTTCATTGTTCTGTATACCATGTACGGAAAGGGTAAGACAGGCAAGCACTAAAAGCAATGCAGCCTCTTTCATAAATCAGGATACAGTACCCAGTTGTTTACTTAGCATAATCTTACACAGACTAGACTGGACAAGTCATGAAACACTGGGCACAAGAGCTGAGAAATGCTGCTATTAAAAAGGCATGCGGAAAAATTTCCCAGAGGATGCCAAGAGAATGTGTGGGAAGAGGTAGGAGGAAGAAGCAGCAGCGTCAGGGTTATAACAAACAGTGAAAAAGTGATTTGTGCTTTTTCCTCAAAATTAGCTACTGAAGATTTCAAACAGAAAAGCATCTCTGGAAGTGGAACACAGGACCGACACTGGAAACAACTGTGCAGCTGCAAGTAAGGCCTCCAAAAGAGTCGAGCTGCATGTTTAGGATAGAATGCTAACAAGCTCAGATGCACACAAATTTGCCAAGTAAGCTTTGCTAAGGTTTTAAATGGCTTGAGGGTTTTAGGGTGTTTTGGGTTTTTTTTGGCTTTTTGTTTTTTTAAAAAAACTTCACAATAGAAAAGGATTCTTCTAACTAACCAGTGAATGCTGCCAAATCTCACAGCATACTTGTGTTGCATCTGATAACATCAGTCACGCTCACTTGGTGTGCTACAGAGCTGAACGACGGTATGGAGCAAGCAGTCTGTGGAAACCCAGCAGCATGGGAGGGAGTAATTTTGGGAAGGGGTCAACACTTACTCAACATGGACTTTTCCAAAACAATGCCCCATAAGGAACGGTCACTTACATAAAAAAGCTTCAAGACAGACTGCAAGAATCTCTCAAACAAAGCCTCCCCACCAACATGCGTGCAAGCCTGAGATTCAGCCTACATACATACAGTTTAGAAAACAATTTTTCAAGTGTGTGTATGCTGATAGCTCATCCAACAGACAGAACAGCTTTCAATTGCTGAAGACTGGTATTTTGTTGTTACTTGCTCTTTGTTCCAGTGACATTTTTTCACCCTTACATGTGCTCCAAATTCATCCTCAGACAGCACAAATATGATCTACATGCATGCCATACTATTAGAAGGCTTGCAGACCTTTAGATCTTTCAGTGCTTGCTTGAGTGCTGTAGATCTGTGGATTTATACAGACCTACACGATTTTACAGAGCTTTTCTTAATTTGTTTAGAGAAGAGAAAAGTGGAAGAGACAGCAAAGCTGCACGTCGACATCCCCCACCATTTCAGGCAGCAGTACTGACGAGTCATAATATATTCAAAGATCAAGCTGATATCTTCAGCCCACCTCCTCTTTTCTCATCCTTACCACCATTCTTCTCAAAATTAAAATCTGAATAGAAAACCACAAGAAAAGCTGGGAAGGATGAAGAGCATTACCAAAACACCATGTACAGTTTGAGCTATAATGTTTCTTCCAGCATTGCTAGTTGGAGGTTACACAACCTCATTTTCTTTGTGCCAACCAAAACTTTCTAAGGGAAGTCTTCACTTTGACTTGGACATTCCTTCTGTTCAGGTCATCAAAGCTTTACAGAGCTGATGTAACCTTGGTGATCCTGAGCAATGCAGGAACTGCAGAATTGGGCCTTGAAAACCGAAAATCTGAGGCGTGCCTACGGAGCTTGCCAACACATTAGGCTTTCTAATTTTTTAAGTGTTTGGCAAAGCAAGCACTGGATCAGAGGTACCTGAGAAGAAAGAAAGTCTTGTGTGTGTTCTCAGCATCAGTTAAACAAAACAATCAGATATCATCCACAGCAACATTTAAGCATAAAATACTGCCAGCAATACATGTGCAGAGGCACGAATCACCTAGAGCCACAGTAGCTGCTCATAAAAAAAAATTCCAATTTCAGTTTTTTAGGAGAGTTTCCATTCCAGCCTCTTTCCCCACATACACACAGTTAGTTACCATTAGTTCTCAAGAGCAGTTCGTGCAAACAAAGCTATGAAAGCAAGTTGAGAAGATCCTTATGTTCTCTGCTCTTAAACGTCTGCATAAGTTGCAGTCAGCTAGAATGATGAAGAAGCTGCTTTAAACATGATCTGCCAGTAAAGGAGATGCTTAGGAAACCCTTCCTTGAGGAAACCAAGCAGTACCTGGATGGCAAGGCCATCTTCGGCAACAACACCAATCTGAGCTCTTTCCTCCCCTTCTCATCCATGACCATCAGCGGCTCTTTCCCAATCTCATGCCATATTCATCGTAGTGAAGACTACGTGCTAAACTACAGCAGCAAACTCATCCAGGTTATAAATAACCATCAGGAAGAGAAAAGTGAGTGAATTTTTAGTGGAATTGTGGCCTGCTCGCTGATCCAGGTCACCACCTGGCCCTTAGGCCTTGATGCCAGCACAAATACGGAGATGCAGACAGGGAGCCAAGTGCTGATGGCAGCAGGAGCAGACAGGAATATCCTATGGGAATATCATCCATGCCTGGTGTTAAAAAGTAGAGTTGACTTAGCATGACTTGGAAGAATTTACACCACATTTTTGGCCTCCACAGGCTCATTACTTTGAAGTAAAAACACATGAGCTCCACTTGTAGGAGTAATGACACTTCTACACTGCGTGGGGCTAACATCTCCCAATCCTCCCTCTGACTGCCATGCATCCCTAAAAAAGAATGAGCTTATGAGGTAGAAGATAGTGCCAACATACAACTTTCAAAACCAGCCAAATATTGCAGAAAGTTTCAAAACATAAGCCATCTCCTGCAACATGAGCTCAGCCACTCTATACACAGCATTTTTCAATTGCTTGCCTTTTGCTGTGCAACCTCTCCATTACAACTGTTAGTGATTAATATACGCTATTAAAAACAGAGGGAGTGTGCAATACAGCCAGAGTTACTGTTATGGAAGAAACCTTCGCTGCTACAGTCCAGCAAGCTGCCCTACTTCAGAGTGCTGCACAAATGGAAACATTTGCTGAGCAAAGAGCATTCGCTTTATGTCAACGCACCTTCATCCTTCTCTGTTTTGTCTACATGTTAACTGCAGAAAAATAGCGCTGCCTCTCGAGAAGGCAGCCTTTGAAAATTTCCAGTTGAACATCAATTTTTATCAGGCCATCTTACAAAGCAAGAATGTCTAGCTCTTGGCAGACACAACAGCTTCAATTAGAGATCAGCAGTCACACTGCTCATCGATCACAGGGAGATCGAGAGATAGGACTGAAGTACTATCAGTTGACCCATCCCTGCCTTCTTGTTTTCCTCTCTATCCAGCCTGGTCGCCCATCACACCTCAGCCACTTGCCAGGCAGCTTCTGTCCAAGTCCATTTTGACCTGCTGGGGCCCATGCACAAACTATCAAAATAGAAAATATTTTGCAGCTATACCCTTGTAAGAGTTTTTTGCTTAATACAACCAGCTTACCAAAGACCCCTGCTCCATGCAATGTATGCACATTAACTTAATTTTTTCCCTAATGTCTATGTAAGACTGAGGAGTTTAGAAAATTTAGATGCTTGATTTCAGGATGAGCTTCAAAAAGTGCAGTATCAGTCAGGCATTGTGGATATTGCACAAAAGGAGCAATTTTAAATCTCAAGCCATCGCTGAGGATGTAACTTGGTAAAACACAACTGGAATCAACAGGGAAAACTCTTGCTTTTTCTGGTCTGTTTTGAAGTCTTAATTTAAACTGATTGCTTTTTGAACAGTATAAGCTACATGACAGCTACGGATTCAAGCATGGATGTATATTTTTTATTTCTGTGGCTGGGTTAATTTCCCGTCTTTCTCATCTAAAGCTCCACAGTAAATCCCCTTGGGTCAGTTACAACTACTACTTTACACTGCTGAATTCTGCCAGCAATCTGCTCATCGTTCCTGCAGATGTTTCTGCTTTCAGGCTTCTGGGAACTTTATTGGACCCATTTCCTCTGAATAAATGTACGCCCTTTTTAGGCTGCAAATGTACCAGGGAAACTACTGTCAAGCAGCCTCCTCACCTTCTTTTTTGGTACAGCAGACGCAAGATGCTACATTTAAAAGAAAAAAAGTGGGAAGTGGGGAATGTGCCTTTCCTCCCCTCTTCTGAGAAGTTTCAGATAAGGGAGTGCTACACATGCTCCTGGGGGCAGCCACGGCAATTTGTGAAAGGCCAGAGGCCCCTACACACAAGCACACAGAAATCTCATAATGGGCAGACAGACTCAAGAGGTCAGGCCCTGCAAACAGAAAGCAAACGTTGACTTGCAAGGACCATTCCCTTCCACATAAACCTGAGGTAAACCGCATGCCATCTCTTGCTGTTGAATTTTACTCACATTACTAACCAAGCAGAATGTTTCTCTACTCACCTCAGTAACGTCCATGACTTTGATGGCTGCCAACTGGCCGGTTTTGACATGTCGACCCTGAAAAGAGAGAGAAGCATCAGCACCAGCATTTCACCAATCCCTTGAGCACACACAGAGCAAAGCATTTGGAGAACTCCAGCTGCTGGGTTTTGCCCAGCTGTGCTGGACTCTTCTCTTCTGCTATTTCATGTGAAAAGCAACAAATACACTAGATAGCTAAAGAAGAGAGATTCCTTTTTAAATGTTCTTACAGAAATCTTAGGACCCATTCTTTATCTCCACATTAAGAGGATGATCATTAAGATTAAGCACAGACATTGCATTCGCTTTTCTTTCTATCTCAGCAAAGCTCATAGTAAGTATGGATCATTTATTAATGCATTATAATGTTAAACTCCATATACCACATATTTTATTTGTAAGCATTCGTGCCTAATTAGAATAGCCTGGGTTGTATTCTACTGGGTAAATGCAAACAAGCTGGGCGAGTTAAAAAAGTACATTTGTCTCTGCTTTGGTCTTCACTGTTAAGTAAAGGTAAAAACAAAAAATGGTGGAGTTTCTGCAAGTGATCTATCAGACCTGCAGAGCTCTCTTTGTTTGTCTCTTGATGATGAAGAGGATGTCTCCCTTCAGCTCCATCACCATAAGGGTATGGTTAGTACCCTTACTGTACTGCTTGAGCTGAATTAATAGATCCCAGCTACTGCAGGGGGGAGCTCTTTCCCCTGCCTCCCTCCCTCCTCCTGTCACATATTTCTCCCATGAGCATCGAGCTCATTCTGGCACTCATCAGATCATATGATAAGCTGATTTAGATCACTAAAATGGCAGAAAGTTAACACAGAAAAAGCAAACTGCGGGGCAGGGAGGAGGAGGGATGCAGATCAGGAAATTAAACGGGCTTGCTCTGCAAGCAAAGCAGAGCCAGAGCTGGCACAGGGGCAGACCACGCGGAGGGGAGACAGGAGCACAACAGTCCCTTTCCAGCTCTGCTGAGCTGCTACTCAGCACAGCTGACTTGTGACAAAAAATATTTTTCTCTAGTACATTTTTGCAGAGACTGGAGCCATACCAATTAACTATTCCTTTTTTTTCTTCTAGCAAGCATTTAGCGATGGTTCCAGCCCTTCACATAACACTGAGTCTGTTCGAGGATGTCCAGCTCGACAATCTGGCAGTGCTTTACATATTCAAGACTGGCACCCCAGAAGGACAGCACAGCAAAGCACCAGTCCCTTTGGAGAAATCTCAGCCCCTTCATACTTTGCCATGCCCTCTGCTGAGGTAATGTCCAGCTACTTCTGTTGCATGACAAAGAACTCAGATGAAATGCTGCAGAATTCACAGCCTCCAGCTTCTTTTACAACTTGCATTGTGCTGCACTCTCCCCTCATTAACCAATTCACGTGTTTTCTATAAATAAATTACTGTACTTGAGATTCTGCCTGCTCTGTAAAGTCTCGTTATTACATGCATTTCTTTGTACAGTTTGGTCTCAAAGCTAGGTTGGATTTTGAAACAAAATTAGGGTTATAACATATGTGCAATGGCCAAGACTGACCTCACTTTGACCCCGCTACTTCTTGAGGCTTTCAGCAAGCCTTGGGGATCTCCAACTCCAACATCCCACCCTGGACCTCTGCCTAATGACAAAAGCTGTGGTGGTCTTGTTGAGATTTACCATGCTACCAAGGAATGAGGGGAAAATGCCTTACAATGAGCTGGAAAGATGCCTCCTCTCTCAGCTCTGCCCTTGTTCTCCGCTACTCTGTGCAGAGAAATAAAAGGGCCAAGGATAACAGGCAAGCACAGTTTGAGATACAAAAAGAACACGTTCAAGTTAAAAGAGGAACAAGGACATCTCTGAGAAGGACTAAGGAAAAGGAAACTTTAAAAGAAAACAGTGAAACATGGTTTGCCAGACTGCAAAAGTGGCATACAAGAAGAAGGAAGGAGCATGAAATCCCCAGGGTGCCTTTTTTTTTATGAGGAAAAAAAAAGTTTGCTTTATTTGTCATTTTAAACCTATAAATTACTGCTGGGCTTACTATTTCCAGACAGGAGCCTGAAACCTCCCAAGGCTCAGCTTCCCAGCTTTCTCCAGACAACATTCCTCCCTACAAGGCTGCTCAACTCTGATGGGCCATGCCCCAACCTCACCGTCCCTCTCCCAGCCTCCTAGCATCCCACCAGTGCCTCCACTCTTTGAGAGTGAACCCAGAGCGTGGCCATCACTTGTGCTTCACTTCACTGCCTCTGCAGCAGGGAGGGGAAAAGCCTCCCCACAGCCTCCTGAGGGACTGGAAAACAGGGGAATTGCAGACTGTGGGAAACGTGGGCTTCTCAGTATCCCAGGCCAAATTTAAAGCCTGGTCATTTCAGAGCATCGTTAAAAATTACTCCGTATATCCTTTTCACAACGTATGGAGTGTTCATACTCTAAGCATCCACAACATAAATTTGGGGGAGGGGGGAGGAGAGCATAACAAATTGATTTATAAGTGAGAAGACATTTTCAAGTCAGATTCTTTTTATTAAAAACATTTTTAGAGAGAGAGGAAAAAAAAACATCACAGGCACAGCATATAAGCAGGAGAAGAGCTTTTGTTTGTTTGTTTATCCGCTCAACAGCTCTGCTCAAGAACAGACTCGTCAAACTATTAGCATGCTGGTACAATTATGCTTGCAAGATAAAATGGCTAAGTAAGCCTGGTTTGGAAGCCGGTATTCTGACATTCATAGCTGGCTTTCACTTTGGAAAACTCTGTCTACATTAATAACAAAAACAATAAATAAATTGTTAATTGGCTGAGTGCGCCAAAGAGGAGACACCCTCAAGACTCCATCTCCAGGGGTTCGAACTTACTCAATGCCACCCCCCAAGCACCTCACAGAGGTGGCAAGCACCAGGGCCCAGCCGTGCATCATCTCAGTGATGCAGCCAGCCCATGTGCCAGCAGGACACCATTTTGTGCTGTCCCTAGAGCAACCTGGATCTACATACCCCTCCATAGGGACGATGGCAAATGTGGTTGGCAACCCTGCCTCATGACAGAGACGACTGATCTTTGAGATCTCTTCTAATCCAAGCCATTCTGTGTTGGCACTGCCAGCTGAGCTGGCCACCACCCTCATGGCCAAGAGCATACTGATGCGTCCCCTTCATTCAGGCCATCTTAGGAAGTTTAATAGCCAGAATTCCCAAACTCCTTGCTGTTTTCTTTTTTGTTTTGTTTTTAAAACACACCCTCCCCTCAGTCCCTTCCCTCTTTCCTTCCATCTATTCATAATAAAGCACTTGCTTATCCTCCTGAGGAAGGAATGTAAGGATATTTTTACAACAACTACTGCTCCCTTCTATTTATAAATGATCTGTTGGGCAAACACAGAGCTAGGATGAGCAAGTCAATGGAGCTGAGTTTACTGACCCCAAACCTTGTCCTGTGTCTTCTCATGGGGGTGACAGGATTTTCATTATGTACAGGAGATTCTGAAACAGAGCTCTTCTCATCAGCAGCACAACATTTAACTGGATGTTAGACTGGATCCCTGCATGTTCCCAGCCACATTTGATAGCAATGTGCTGTTTATTTCTCGTCTCAGTGGGCTTTCTGCATGTTGAAAAGCAGAGGGGACAAGGGGAATCCTTGGTCGACTGCCAGGATCTGCAGAACATTATGAATTCCAAGCCTACCCACGCTCTCCAAGTCAGTTAATACACCTACTTCTTGCCTCCACACATTATTACTGTATTGTTTGGGAAAGGTTCAAAGGGAAGTAGCGTAATGTGCTGTTATGGGTGGTTTTTTTTTCCTCTCAGATGTCTTAATGTTATCAAAGAACTATGCAAATGAAATGCAAAGGAAACGCTATCTGTTCATTTACTGGCTCTCCCCTCTAGTTAACCAAGACACATATTCCACAGTAATGCAATTCTCCTATTAACACAACCTCTTGCCTGAGTATTAATGTGCCTTTTGGGGGACTGTTCCTGGAAATCTGCTCCCCAGCTGAATGGCATGAAAGAAGAATATGGAGCAACATCACAAATTCAGGAAGGAAAACAGCATGCGGAACTCATAACTAGCAAACTTGCATTATCCTGTGCACTACACAGTCTTTGGAAAACCTTCCTAGCCTCTCATTATTCTGTGCTGACAATTAAGAAGAGATGAGCAAGCAAGATGAAAAAAACCCTACTAATTCACATTTCAGTTGCTATGATGCATGCATAAGCAGCAGGCCAGATTTAAACAGTTAGCAAGTAAAAACGTACTGCTCCACCACCTCTCAGTACAATGCCCCCATGCCAAAATTAACTTTTCAATTTGTTTCTCACTTGGTTGACTCTAAGCTCCTACCAGCCTGAGGCAATAGGCCATGGAGCAATGCTCTGCTATTAGGTTGCACACCCTGGTGCAGTAAATGATACCGTGTTGTTCCAACACATGTTTACAACCAGCTCTTTTTGTCACTCGCCAGCACAGGCAGTTTCACAGCAACCAACTCAGTGCTGTGAACACCCAGGCTCCATGAGGCATTTCTTCCCACTCCCAAAAAACGACCAGATCTACCCTGTGAAAAATAGTGAGAGCGGGGCTTGCAGAGAACATAGAGTATGCATTTTAATAGGGAAAAAGATAGAACAGAACAAAGCAAAAAGAAAAAGAAAACTCCTCGGTTAAGAAATAAATAAATAAAAATAAAACATTATTAAGCAAGAAGCCTACCTCATTGCTTTTGTAGCCAAACTAATGCTGTTCTGATAAAGCCTTTTGCAACCTAAATAATTACAGGCTCCAGCTACGGAGATAAATCTGTGAAAAAGAGATAAAGTTTGTCTGGCATAGAAGCTCCTTCTACAATGAAAATCAGCAAACAACCTCAGTACAAAGGCCTGGCACATCATTGCAGAATTGCAGAAGAGTTAAGAAAAGGCCAAAATCAATGTTCCTTTTTCCTGTTAAGATGACTACTAAGCCCAAACCAACCACAAGCTATTAAAGACTCCTACTGTTCAAGTCAAAAGACGGGACAAGGTTCCCGTCTAGCAC